GAGGTGTAAAGCTAAAGAAACAGAACCCTAACAGACATTCACCATTTAGAAGATCATTTTGCATATTTTTTTTTTTTTTTTTTTTTTTTTATTTTTTAATAAATTTTATTTTGACATTCTTTACATAGTTAATTAGGGTAAGAAGGTTCAAGGGCTACAGGAAAGTGGATAATACTAATATGTTTTCCATATTGTTACCTTCATGTTTAAAAGGGGGGTTTTAAGGGAGAAGGCCCACCCAATTTCCCACCCTCCCCAAGTCCCGGGTGTAGGGCATGCTCTGAGGTTCTTGCTCAAGTGGTTTTGATATTGCAACAGTTATGAATCGCTGTCAATCTTGCCGCTCCAAGCACTATGAGGTCTTTGAAAGATCCACTGATTGACATAGTCCATCATAGCTTAGATGGTTGGTTGACCCGGTCTGTCTTCGCTCTTTTCTTTGTTATGGTTCTGAGTCCAGCATTTAGATTAGGAAGATCTCCAAAGAAACTTCTTGTATGTGCTAACAAGTACAGGGCCTGGCACCGTCCATCGCTCCAATCAGCTGGTGGTTGCAATTCCTGGGTTGGTTCTGTGTTCACTCCCGTCTTCCACTGGAGCCAATGGGTGTTGCAGTCCAGTCTGGTTCTGCCCAGCACATACTTGGCCCTCACATAAACCAGCGGGAGCTGTAGCCTAGGTTGGAGCGACCCACAATAACCCCAACCAGGCCCACCCCCTACCCTGGTTGCCAGTAAGTGTAGCAGTAATCCAGTCTGTCCCACATCCCATTCCACCCCAGCCGCTGTCTTAGTTTTATGTCCTCCCGTGGAAGTGGTAACCCAAGAGGGATGAGCCCACTATTTCCCTCCCAGGCCTCTCCCACTCCCAGATTCCAGTTGATGCTGCCCAAACAAACCTCGCCCACTTTAATTTTGTTTGCACCAGTAGGAATAATCCGCCCAGCCTGGCTTTTCCCTGATCTAGTCCACATGAGGCGCACAGGTGTGGTAGCTCTGCCTAGTCTGGTCTGCCCCCATCCCAGCCCATGCTCTCCTGCGGAAGTAGCTGTCCAGCAAAGGAACCCTCCCTTATTCCCCTGCCAGCTCTGCCCACTTCCTTTCTTGTTCTCAGGCTGGTTGGGCGCTGCGGTCCCTTCTGGTACAGGCAACCTCACCTCGGCATTCCATAATGTGCACTAGTCTTTGTTGCGACCGAACCTGGGTCGACCCACACTGGTGCCTGGATTTGCCAGTGGATGATGTGGACAGATTCAGCCTGGTCTTGCCCCCACGTCTGCCAACTGTATGCCAGTGGGTAGGTTTCCATGGCCTTTTCTGGGCTGTTTCCTATCATGTTTCTTGCGTTTACCTGCTGGGTCTGTGTCCTGCCAGAGGAGTTGCCCAGGCTCCTCCATCAGAACCTCTCCCAATGCCAGGTTTCACGCTTACCAGTGGGTCCATGAGCCAACCCTACTCAGTCCACCTCCTGTCATAGCAGGAACTGTGGCTTTTCCTGACTGGCCTTCAACCCAATCTGGTGCTTGCTGTTGGATGTTCCAGCCCAGCCATGGTTTGTCCATACCCACGTATGGCTCACACATGGCTCAGTAGGGGTTTGAGACCCTGCCTAGTCCATCCCACATCTGCCCTGGTCCTCCAGAACACCAGGGGGAGTCGGGGTCCGGCCCAGTTCGGTGCATCCAATCCCAGTCCACACTTGTGCCAAGGGAGACTACAACTGTTTCCAGATCAGAACGCAGCCCCCTTCCAGGCCACGCGCCTCTTGGTGGGAACCTCAGCCCAGCTAGGGTTGTCCCCTTTGCTCCCCAACCGGGTCCGTTCCCAGGCATAGATCACATGCCTGCCAATGGATGCTCTGACTCAGCTTGGCATAACCCCTCCCCTGTCCCGAACTCTGCCTTAGACACTGTGACTCAGCGTCCCAGGCTCCCACAGACCAGCAGGTACAAGAGCCTAGCTCGGCATGACCTCTGCTCCCTCCTGGTTTCTAGTTTTACTTGTGGGCTAAGGTTTGCTCAGTCGTGCCTAATCTACTCTGTTCCATTACCAGTTGACACATTGGCCAACTGTTGGAGCTACTTGTGCAGGGCAAGCCCCAAGCCATAGCTTCTGCATGACTGGTATTTGGTGCTCAGAATTATTAGTGATTACAAGTTTTGCTAAGGAAGAGTTACTGCCTCTTTCAGGTCCAAGAAGCACAATGGGTTCAACCTGGAGCTAATTAAGCAGCAACTCAAAGAACCAAATCCCCAGAGCTCCCCAGCCGGGCGGCCAGCAGGCGGAGCCTGGCACCAATGGCGCACTGGCCGCCCGAGAACGGCTCACCATGTGCCCATGGCGGCCGTCCGGAATCCAGGCATGAGACGCCCCGTCCTGAGACCCACCAGCTGCCAGGAGGCAGCTGGAGGTTTAAAATTCCCAGGCCCAAGGTCGCGCCCCTCCCAAATCCCCTTCACCGCCCAATGAGGGCGGTGGCTGGGTGCCGGACCTGCCCAGTCCCAGAGGCCTCCCCCCGTCGGTCTACTCACCCCGAAGGAAGCGGCCCCCGAAACCCAGCAGGCCCGGGGAGGACGGCTCACCATGTGCCCATGGCGGCCGTCCGGAATCCAGGCATGAGACGCCCCGTCCTGAGACCCACCAGCTGCCAGGAGGCAGCTGGAGGTTTAAAATTCCCAGGCCCAAGGTCGCGCCCCTCCCAAATCCCCTTCACCGCCCAATGAGGGCGGTGGCTGGGTGCCGGACCTGCCCAGTCCCAGAGGCCTCCCCCCGTCGGTCTACTCACCCCGAAGGAAGCGGCCCCCGAAACCCAGCAGGCCCGGGGAGGACGGCTCACCATGTGCCCATGGCGGCCGTCCGGAATCCAGGCATGAGACGCCCCGTCCTGAGACCCACCAGCTGCCAGGAGGCAGCTGGAGGTTTAAAATTCCCAGGCCCAAGGTCGCGCCCCTCCCAAATCCCCTTCACCGCCCAATGAGGGCGGTGGCTGGGTGCCGGACCTGCCCAGTCCCAGAGGCCTCCCCCCGTCGGTCTACTCACCCCGAAGGAAGCGGCCCCCGAAACCCAGCAGGCCCGGGGAGGACGGCTCACCATGTGCCCATGGCGGCCGTCCGGAATCCAGGCATGAGACGCCCCGTCCTGAGACCCACCAGCTGCCAGGAGGCAGCTGGAGGTTTAAAATTCCCAGGCCCAAGGTCGCGCCCCTCCCAAATCCCCTTCACCGCCCAATGAGGGCGGTGGCTGGGTGCCGGACCTGCCCAGTCCCAGAGGCCTCCCCCCGTCGGTCTACTCACCCCGAAGGAAGCGGCCCCCGAAACCCAGCAGGCCCGGGGAGGACGGCTCACCATGTGCCCATTTTGCATATTTTAGAGAAAGATCAGTTCATGCAGAATTCTGATACATTATCAGTATTCACCTCTTCCATTGCATGTCAATTCCTGAGTTTTACAGCAGTATAAAATAACAATATTGACATGTATTTCCACATTAACAGAAAAATGCTTGTGTGCATTCACATATTTATACACACAGATAGCAATACAAATTATGTAAATATTACATCTTTATTGTAGCTAATATTAAATTCATGTGATTTGATCACCTACTTCAAATTTCAAAATATTCACGTACTATGTAACATATCTATTTATTGCATAAGTGAAAGTGATTAAACAAATCCATTTACAATTCTATTTTAATAAAATTATTCTAATGTAGGATAAAGTCATATTTTATATAACAATTAAGAATTTAAAATGCACTCTGAGAAATTGCATACACTAAATCTTTCATTTAAAAAATGAGATCCAACTTACAACAGTAATTAGAACTTCCTCATAAACTGTGAAGTTGCTCTATTCCCGACATCTCATATGTCAGATTTTGTATATATTCGACTACATTTATTCTTAGGAACATGAAATTTGCATTTAAATATGTATTGAATTTTTCAACATAGTTTTCAAGTACATAGCAAAATAGATTTCTGATGGTAATATTTTAGTCAATATTATTCCAAGAAATTGGTATTATGGAATACCTCTCTCTCTGTCTCTGTAAAATCTACCTGCCACATAAATATAAAGAATTTTTAAAAAGATCATCTCTAGAGGACTATCTTCCTGTTTTGATATTAAGACATTTTCTGTCCTATGTATTAGTTTCCTGGAAATCACCTAATTATCATGTGCCCAAACAGAGTATACATTAGGAAAGCAAATGAAAGGAAATTTGTCCTTATTTGCGTGCTCACAGGTGAAAATTCAGGTTTCCTTACAATATTAAGTATGAAATATACCAGCCCATGCCAAAGATACAACATTGAGAAATTTGAAGAAAAAATTTTTTGGAATAACAGTGTTTTACATAAACACAGCATTGAACCTATCCATTACTATGAGATTTCTGCCTTACACTGACACAGAATTGCAAAGAAGTAAAAAAAACTTCACTGCATTTAGAGTTTGTGTGTGCTTATGCATGTCCTTCTAAGAAGTAAAATAAATAAATATTGCTAGTACCTAACACTTAAACTTTGTTAGACAATCTTGTAACTTTTGTAGGGATATTTTAGAGAAAGTAAGGAAAGATCCCCACAGCCATCTATCTTTATATGTCATATTTATTATTGTTGTGCTCATATTTTAAGTTTTTTTTGCACAAAATACAGCTAACTAGATTAAAGTGTGCTGAGCTGAAAAGAAATATCTTCATTTGCATGATAAGCAATGAGAATTCAGCACTTCCTTCATCATCAGGTACAAAAGCCTTCCTCTTTGGTCTGTAATGTTTAGAAGCTCTGTTGAATCTCAGCTGTGCTCTCTGGAAAATTAAAAAAAGAAAATGTTCCGGGAGGGAAATGGGAACAATCTACTGACAGACTTGATGCTTGAAGATTTTTTGAGGGGGGAAAAGAACTGAGTTTTCAAAATCTCTTGTAAGTGGTTGCACAAAGAAGATTTCAGCAGTGACGTGAGGTATCAGCGTGTTTTCTTATTGACAATGGCTGCTATTGTACTGACCATATTGACACTGATTCTAACTGTAGAATTCATTGTTGGGAATGTAGACAATGCATTCATTGTACTGGTCAACAGTATTGATTGGGTCAAGGGAAGAAAGATTTCTTCAGTTGATAAGATTATCACGGCTTTGGCAGTCTCCAGAATTGGATTGATCTGGTTCACATTGATTATAAGGTTGGCTTCTGCATTTTACCTGACTTGGTTTTTCACTGAAAAAGTCTTGCGAGTGATTCATATCGCCTGCACTGTGACCAACCATTTCAGCATTTGGTTTGCTACAAGCCTCAGCATCTTTTATTTTCTCAAGATAGCCAAGTTTTCTAACTCTACTTTCCTCTACCTAAAGTGGAGAGTGGAAAAGGTGGTTTCAGGGACAGTGCTTATGTCTCTGGTGCTCTTGTTTCTAAATATTGCCCTGTTAAACATGCGTATCAGTGTCTATATTCAAGTATATAAAGGAAATGTGACTATGGGTTTGAGAGAGTTTGCACAGCTTTTCAGAATATTTTTGTTCACTGATACAGTGTTTATGATCATACCCTTCACCATGTCCCTGACAACTTTCCTCCTGCTCATCTTCTCCCTTTGGAAACATCTCAGAAAAATGCAACTCAGTGCCAAGGGATCCAGAGATGCCAGCATCAAGGCCCACTTACAAGCCTTACAGACTGTGGTCGCCTTTCTCGTGCTATGTACCGTTTTTCTATTGTCTTCTCTTCTACAAACTTGGGGCTCTGCATTGCTGGAGAATTGTCTGAGCATGACAGTTTGCCACGTATTTGAGATGACGTATCCCTCACTCCATTCATTCATCCTGATTCTTGGAAACAGGAAGCTGAGACAGGCCTTTCTGGCTTTTCTGAGGTGGCTGAGTCATAGGTTCAAAGATGCACCATGTTAAGGTCTTTGTAGTGTTTAGGGTATCATCATATACATGCTCGACGTCAAGTCACTTCATGTGGAGTTTGGGTTCACTATAGATTTTCACCTCCCAATATTCGCTCATTTGTGTAAATGTATGTGTCTCTTGCAATGATATGTGCAAAATTCTGATATCTGCATATGTTAAAATATATGCACAAGGGCTTATATAAACCAGGTTATACACAGAAGTATATGATTATAAATCACATAAATATTAGAACATTTAGTTACCTTTGAATTTTATGTGAACAATTCACCTTTCTGGGATTTCTCAATTAGAAAACATGTACTATGTGATATATATATTCACAGATATGGATACATATAAGATAATAGCAAATGCATTTTTTTTACTGTATTTTGTACTCACAAAATAGTTTTCTGGGGCCAGCGTTATCACATGGTGAATAAAGTCACCTCCTGTAATGGTACAGTCCCATATGCACACAGGTTTGTGCCCAGCTGTTTCATTTCCCATCCAGCTCCCTGCTGGGCAAAGCAGCAGGAGGTGTTCCAAAGGCTTGCAGCGCTGCTACCCATGTGGGAGACCCAGATGAAGCATTCAGGTCATGGCTTCAGCTCTGCCCAACCATGGCCATTTCAGCCATTTGGAGTGAACCAAAAGAGCAAAGGTCTTTATCTCTCTCCATCACTCTCTGTAACTTTGACTTTCAAATAAATAGATGTTGTTTAAAAGATAGCTTCTAAATTAATTGATAAAAGACCTAATATTTACAATGGAAAATTAGGAATAAATTATTTACTATTTGAAATCACACACACTAAACATTTTGCTTCACATATAAGAATCAACTTGCAAAACAATTTTAGAAATTCCAGAGTCACAGATTGCTCTATTCCAAATAGTCTTTGTTACTACTTTCTTTGTGCAGAAGATTTGAACCATATTCATCATTGGAGTTATGGAATTTGCATTTTAACAGACTTCATATTTCTCAATACATTTCCCAAGCACATAGAAAAAAATACATTTTCTTTTTAATGTAAGAGGCTACCAAATTACATCTGTTGATCATTTTAAGTAATGTATGATTCTAAGAGATGATCACAATTTGTTGTATGGCAGACATGAAAGATCTGTTAACAATGTTGGTGAGGGACATTGCACATGCTGGAATCCCACATGAATGCCAATTCATGGGTGCCAGCTGTTTCACTCCCCATCCAGCTTGTGTCCTGGGAAAGCAGCACCCAGGGAATAGGAGCTGGTCCTTTCATGACACACCTGAGAGCCCAGTGTGGGGAAGAGTGTTCTGAGGATGTTACTTGAGTGGTTTTGATAGCCCTGATATGTCAGTTTCATTGTTGCAGGGATGAGAAAATCCTTCCGTGGTCTACTGGATAACAAAATCCACCTTATATAATATAGTAATAACTAATTAGAAAATGCTATTTGACACTAAGAGTTCTTCCATAGTAGTAACCAAAACTATGAAATCCCTGTAAATCAGGGCTGCAGATATTTTACTGAGATGTTAATTACATTGTAGCAAAACATTAAAAAAATTAGAAGTATAGTTATGTTCATGTTCTTAAATGGGTAATGTCAGCAGTCATAATGGATTTCAGAAATATTCAAAATTTGTGATACTTCCTATATACTTCCTATATGAGCAACAGTTAAAATTATATAGAAGTTTTTTAAAATCTTAGCTTGCAAATCACACTTGATGCTTACTAATAATACATTAGGATGTCTGAGTATAAAAGTATTTAAATATAAGTAAGCTCATTGAGAATTATTTATTTGCAAAAATCTGGAATAATAATTCACATCTTCTAGTTCCTTGGAATTTTTGGGATATCCAGTGAAGCACATTGGCACTGTTGGTGCTGCAGGGTGTACACTTGGGTGTCATGGGGTTGTTTACAATAAATCTTTATTAGGTATATTCGGCTTGTGGGAGTACTTTGGGTGGTTTTAATAGGAGAAAACTTGGAAAATTGTGTATCCATTCCTTTAAACATTTATATGGATTTTCCGTCTGTAAAAATAAGCATGACTAAGCTTCTTCTGTTCATCTAGAAAATTTCCATGTTTTCCATTTGTTATTTTCCTACCTTCACTAACCCGAGTTATACAGATGTTAGACAATGCAAAAACGACAAAGCATGAAAGAGAATACATCAGCATTTGCATGTTCACAAATGAGAATTTAGCTTTTATTTCAGTATCAGCTAATGGAAAATTCCATCCCAAGGAGAAGATTCAAAATATAGGAATGGGAGGTCGTTTCGGTTCTTTTCAGAGTAGTTAGTGTTTTAATTCAACATGAAAAACTTGGTGCTAGCAAATTCCAGTGGGCCTCAGAATCTTTAAAAAATCGGGAAGTTCACTGCACATCTAGAAAGCATGTGTGGATTGAACTTCATATCAGGATATCAAGGAATTCTACCCAGTGACATTAGACTTGCTGTTCCCCTCCAGATATGAAGGGTTTACCTATTTTAAATATTGTATGCCTGAAATCTATAAAATCTCTCTATTCATGGATAAGAATGTCAAGTGAACCAAACACAGCTCCTTCCAGCCTAGTTTTTAGGATTTGATTTGGGAAAATTTGTCAGTAATTCCATGATTCTGGTGAACTACATTCTCTAAGTCAAGAGGCAACAGTGCTCTGCATTTGATTGCATTATGTTTGTTCTTCCAGTCCCTAACATTGGTTTGCTTTGTTGATGTCAATATATTGCTATGTACCTGTGATTACTACAGTTTTATGGGGTGTAAAACAAAGAATCATTGTTCTTGCCACTCTAATCACGTAGAACTGTGAAACTATTAAAACCGCTTGAGCAGGACCCTCAGAGCATCGCCCACATCCGGGACCCTGGGTGGGTTGCGAGGCTGGGTGTGGCTTCTCTCCTTATTTCTCCCCTCTTCACAGATAAAGGAAGGAAAAAAGAGAATGTCAAAACAACAGTCTCATCCCGTTTCCTCTAGCCCTTGACCCTTCGTACTCTAAGCAAATACGTAAAAATTCTCACAAATAAAATGTATAGAATTTAAATAACAATCATTGCTCTGACTGCCTCGGTAATAGCCCATAATTTTCTCTGATTGCTTCTAGCTTTATCATATTTTATTCACTGAAAAGAATGTTTTTTTTGGCTTTATTAGTGTTTGTGTAAAAAGGAGCATAAATATGGTAATTATAGTAGTTGTTCTGGAGAATTCGGTGGTTTTGTCATGATGTTTTCCATTTATCGAATTTCTAACTGTAAGAATCATTGAACATATCTTCAAAGTTCGAGAGATACTCATATAAATGAGGTATGAAAATGTTGCTCATTTAACTCAACAAACATTTACACTTCCATGAAAGGCATCAGTGAAATACATATATCTATATTATATACATATTTTTGATGATTTAAATGTATTCTCAAAGATTGTGCAACTACAGTTGTCCACCAAAGTTGAAATTAGGCAAAATGTGGTCACATCATTATTACAACAAGATTTGTTATTAGATTGGTGTTTTTAACTGATTCCACAAGGAATTCTACTGCATGTATTAAAATTTCATATGTAACAATCCCACTTGATTCTTAACAAAAAGTGTTACCAAATAATTTTTGTTTATTATTATCTACCTATCCCAATATAATTTAGACTACATAAGGTCAAATTTAGAGATTGTATCTGTTTGCTATTGCTTCCACGGAGTTACAAGATGGCACAAGGAGAAATAGGTCAAATGATAATGAATATATAAATAATAAAAATATAAATGGATGAATGAATTACAGAACTATGTTAAATATAGTGAAAACAAAACCCCTCAAAAAACCTACACATTATAGGAATATTCCAGCTTTGGTTTCATACGTTTACAAAATATTTTAACTGATAAACATATGCAGACTTTTAAAAACGTATTTGTTACAAGTTTATAGTAGTAGAAGCACTTCCCACAGCAACAGAATGGCCATTCCACATTGTAGAAAAATCATCATCTTTCTCATTTAAATTTAGGACTTTAGTAAATAATTTCTACATATACTCAATTAGTTTTTATTGCTCATGTTGATTCTTAGCATTGAGGTGGAGTCAGCTCTTCGTATTTAAAAGATTCCGCATTTTTAAAATATTCTTGAACTTCATGATGCATGTCCCCCCCCCCTTTGCTTGATAGCTTGTGGTGAATCAGTTTTATTGATCTATAGTTTCTTTTCCTGTCCTTGGAAAAATGATTTTTTTAAATATTAATTTACCTCTGTCAGGCTGTGAGTTTGTCTTGATCTGGGCGGTGCCTTTTAGAAAGGTTGTGAATACAAGGATGTTGGAAGATGAAGTATAATGGAAAAATCCTAAGCTATTTGGTGCTAATTGTGGAGTGTGCCTTACTGGGGAAACACAATGAGCAGGATTTTTGCCTTGTGAATGATTCAAACCCAGGATGCACTTTGGCAACAACCAACAAATTATCACCTCTTATTGTGTGAAAAAAGATTTAAAACTGTTGAAACTTTAATTCAACGTGATATAATACAAACACAGGAGTTTTTAAACAATGCTTAATACAACTGTCATAGAGTATATGCTAGATAATTAATTAATGTTAGAGAATGACAAACCCAAATGATTAAATGAAAAGAGAGGATTTGGATGAAAATAGTGTATTCATGTGTGTGTGTTTTGTTAATCTAAAATGATAGAAGTAATTATTTGTATTAATAACTCGATATCCTAAAGAATATAGGCAAATATCCCTGGACACACTTAATGTTTTGCTTTTTTCTTAACCTTAGAGGTTACAAATGTCACATAGGCTTTTGTCCACTGTACATATTTTGTTTTTTTTTCCCCCAGAATACAAATTGCCAAAAAAAGGTCGATGGTAGCAGTGTAAGAAATGCAAACAAATATTGCTTTATTTGCATGCTAGCCAAAGAGAATCAAGCATTTTCTAAATCCTTCACCACAGGAATCTTTCCTTTCATTTTTGTGTGTAAGGCCAAAAGGATCAGGTTGAAGATCAATTGAACTAGAAAATTACAGAAAAAAAAATCTCAGGAAGATATATATATGTCATATATATATATATATATGAACAATCCATCAGAAAAGTTCACGTTTGTAGGATTTTAATGAGGAGATATTGCTGAATTTTCAAGAATCAGGTTTATATACCTATGGATGCATAAACAGATCCTCAGAGGGGGGTCTCAGACATTGGAGCATTCTGCGACAACAATGGTTGCTTTTAGGGTGGCATTTGCCGTGATTCTGAGTGTGCAATTCATAATTGGAAATATAGGCAATGGATTCATAACAGTGGTGAACTACATTGACTGGGTGAAGAGGAGAAAGATCTTTTTAATTGATCAATTACTCACTGGTGTGTCAGTCTCCAGAATTGGTACAATCTGGTTCGTATTCTTAATTAACTTGGGTTTCATGTTTGACACAATCAACATGAAGAATGAAACTGTGTTAAAAATGAGTGCTATTGCCTGGACTATTACCAATCATTTTAGTGTTTGGTTTGCCACAAGTCTTGGCATCTTTTATTTTCTCAAGATTGCTTATTTTTCTAACTCTATTTTTCTGTACCTTCAGTGGAGAGTAAAAAAAGTGATCTCAGTAACGTTGCTAATGTCTTTGTTCCTTTTGTTTTCAAATGTTGCATGGACAAATATATATGCTGAGTTTTGGATTGAAAGACATAAAGAAAACCTGACTTTGAATTCGAGTTTGGGTGATTGTGCCCACTTCCGTGGAATTCTCCTGACCATTGAGATGACGTTCGCGATCATCCCTTTCACGCTATTCCTGATGACTTCTCTCCTGCTCTTCTTCTCCCTGTGGCGACATCTTAGGAAGATGCGGATCAACGTCACGGCATCCAGAGACAGCAGCACCAGGGCCCATGTAAAATGCTTGCTAATTTTGTTTGTTCTTCTCGTGCTGCGTACCCTCTTCTTTTCGTTTCTTCTCTTACAAAATTGGAACTCTGAGTTGGTGGAGAATCAACTGATTTCCATGGTTGCTCAGGTTTTCGCCATGTCCTATCCATCGAGTCACGCATGGATCTTGATTCTGGGAAACAGCAAGCTGAGAGGAGCCTCGGTAACAGTGTTGTGGTGGCTTAGATGGAGATGGAAGTGAGTGCCTTCCATCGCCTCCCTTGCAGGATCATCTCCTGCATTCTTAAAGACAATTGACTCATAGAAAAATTTATATATTGGAAATTTTCACTTCTATAATATTTATGAGTTGTGTGTCTATTTTTTTTTAAAGATTTATTTATTTATTGGGAAGTCAGATATACAGAGAGGAAGAGAGACAGCGAAGAAGATCTTCCGTCTGATAATTCACTCCCCAAGTGAGCGCAACGGCTGATGCTATGCCGATGCGAAGCTAGGATCCAGGAACTTCTTCCAGGTCTCCCACATGGGTGCAGGGTCCCAAAGCTTTGGGCCGTCCTCGACTGCTTTCCCAGGCCACAAGCAGGGAGCTGGATGGGAAGTGGAGCTGCCGGGATTAGAACCGGCGCTCATATGGAATCCTGGCGCATTCAAGGCGAGGAACTTAGCCTAGACCACGCTGCCGGGCCCATGAGTTGTGTGTCTTACAGAAACATACTGGTTTTGGACCATCCTCTACTGCTTTCCCAGGTCATAAGCAAGGTGCTGGACTGGAAGTAGAGCAACAGAGACATGAACTGGTGACCCTATGGGATCCTGGTGTATGCAAGGCAAGGATTTTAGCCACTGAGCTATTGTGCTGGACCCTCAAGTTGTGATTTGTTGTTTACAGTGTGTGTCTATACTCTTTAGAAATAGGATTTTTTTCTTCTACCTGTTATTTCTTCAAATCTTTACTGATAGGAATGTTGAACTTGTCTAGGATTAGGATTGGGAAGCTTTGAACACAGAGTATGTGAAAAACATGTATAAATTCTTTTAAACCTTTTTATATAAACCTAATATGCATGTTAAAATCAGTCCTGAAAGGCAATGAATCATTAAAGTCATATTAAGTTTCATTTCATTGTCTTTTGTTCTCTGTATTGCGTGTGTAGCTTTCCTAGATGACACACTTCGTGAACCTAAATTGGGTTTACATCAGACAGTGAAAGAGAATATATGTCCATTTGCAAGCTTGCAAATGAGAACTCAACCTTCACTGCAACATAAGCAATGGAAGGTTCTAGTTCATGACAAGGTTATGAAGTATAAGAACAGCAGTATTTTAAAGGCATTTCTCTGTTTTCTTCAGAATAACAAAGGGTTTCATAAACTCAGTGTTGAATTCATCTATTAAGATGCCTATGTGGTATCTCCATGCTGGCCACAGAAATGAGAATAATTTAAAGATTTCAGGAAACATTCTGAAATCATGTGCTTACAGAGTTCTAGGCATGGTCTTACAGAATTCCATCCAGAAATATTAAACTTGCCTTTTACTCCACCAAAGAAAGTTGTCAGCCTGGCTTCCATTCAAATTCTAATATCTTCATACTAGTGGTGATCTGCATAGCACTGATCAAGTGACAAAACCTATACTCAGCTGATCACATGCTCAGGTCTCTGAAAGTCTCCAGAATTGCTTTGCTTTGGGTAATGCTGATGTATTGGAATGGGACAATGGTTGGACTAGACTTACACAATGTGCAAGTAAGAATGACCGTTCTTATTGCATGGATGGTTAAATACACACACGTATGTATTATATATATATATGTATGTATTTTATATATAATCTATTTTTTCCTGTCCTCAGTGTATTATAACTTCTCAAGCAATTTCCCAAGCTTTATTTCTCGTCACTCGAAGAAGAACATTAACAGGTTCATTCTAGTGCTACTGGTGAGAATATTGATGATTTTTTCATGTTACAGTAATCAACCCACATGAGACTATGAAGTGGAAGAGCATCAGAAAAGCATCACTTGGAAAACTAAATTGACAGATGTTGTATGTATTTTCAGTTTTTGTTTGTTTGATTTTCTTTTTTGATCTTTTGTTGACAGAGAACAGATGCCAGGTATTTCATAGGTGAAACTCTGAGATATAGGATGTATAGGATGTTTCTTATAGGATATAGGGTGCTATATTGATATAGGATGCTATGTTTCTTAGGTCTGCACAAGTATCATGGCAGGTGATGGAAGGCAGTAGGCTAAGCCACTACTTGTATGACCCAATCCACATGGAAGTCTTTCACCAACAGAGAATACATAAAATTCTGAGCAAAATTTACCTTGTCCAATGTGGATTACTTAAGCCTAAAGTTTATAGGCCCAAAGTGACTATTTCAGGCTATTTCAGGAAACATATTGTAAAGAGATTTATTTTATTTGTTTGGAAGGCAAATTTACAGAAAGAGGGAAATGCAAAGACAGAGGAGAGAGTTTGCACCTGTGGATTCATCCGCAGAATGGTCCTAAAGGCTGAAGTGAGGCTGGCCCAAGTCAGGATTTTCTTCTGGATTTCCCGCGTGGGTGCAAGACCTCAAACATTAGGCCGACCTGCTTTTCCAGGAAGTGTGAATGTCGGTAGTTCTGGGGTTGTTTGAGTGAGTTTTATGATTTTGTTCACAATAAAGCTATATAAGGGAGTAGTAATCTTCCTGGCATTTCTCTTGGAACTAGGAAATTTTTAGTACAAAAAAATTTTGGGAAAAAATCTGAAATCACTATTTTAAAATTTTATAGACTAAATTATACATATGCATATGTAATTACATATGTATGTTATATATATATATAAAAATCCTGAATAGAAATGAATCATTATAGTCATCCTCAGAAACCTAAGATTCCTGTGTGTTTACTTAGTGTTATTTTCCTAGAGGACACCTAAATTTCACCTGCCCAAATTGACTAGAGGTTAGGCAAGGCAAAACTGTAAATAATGAAAGACAAGATGGCTTCATTTGTATACTCACAAATGAGAAGTCAGTTTTCATTTCAACATCAGCTATGAAAGATTGTAACCCATGCCCACTATGGGAGGTCTTCAGAGCGCTTTTCAGTACAGTGTCTTCTCTTAAGTACTCCAATGAACTTGTCTGTTAAATGCCTTGATAGATATCTTTTTTTTTTTTTTTTGCTTCACCTTATCACAGAATTTCAAAAAAATCAAGAATTTCACTGTGTCTGTAGAAGTCTTGTTTTCATAGAACTTTAGGTCAGAATATTAGGGTACCCTAACCAACAGCATTTGACATGTCTTACTTTTGTGTGTGTGTGTGTCTACATTGAAATGTTTACATGGAAATTTACTAAAGAGCAATGCTTCCATCAGGATTTTAAACTAGTTTTGGATATTTTGCCACTGTGTTCGTTGGGCTGATGAATTCCATGGCCACTGTGAAGAAAGTCCTCCACAGCTGATCACCTCTCACTTCTCTCTCATTCTCCAGAATTGTTTTGCTTTGAATGATAAAAGTGTACTGGGATTCCATTATGGGTAACCTAACTTTGTAGCACGTGCAAGTAGGAGTTGTCGCTTTTTATTGCCTAGGCAGTAACCAAGTGCATCAGCTGCTGATTTCCTATGTGACTCAATGTAATTTTTGTAAAAACATCCAATTTTTGTGATGTCATGATTCTTCATGTAAGTAGGAACTTTAGCAGTGTAGAGTGCACTGTTGGGTGAGTGAACATGAAGGAAAAATGAAGACAAAGTGATCAGGTATTGTATGCCTTTCAAATGTAACTCTGCTTCCGTGAAACTCACTTATTTTACTTCCTTATTGATATATTTTTCTAAAGATAGCCCATTTTTACTTAGCAATATCTTATTAAGATGCAGCTCCGTGGTACAGGACCCTGCAACCCAACACAAAGGTCCACCTATAAGCCACGTGCGCTGTGGCTGCCTTCCTCTTGCTGTTTACAACCCCATCTGTGATTGCAGAGATATGCTGTGAGGTAAACAGATTGTCTTGATTTACATGCTACTGGGTTCGTAAACACTTGGACTCTTTTGTTTGTGCTAATTTGATTAAAAGAGAGTGAAAACAGGTATGTTGAATTTTGTTTGATTTTTCTGTCTGTGTGTATGTGTGTGCCAGCTGATTTGTTGCCTGAAAGTTTGGAAAACATAAATGCTGCAGATCAGATCAGTTACATTGTTTTCACTCTTATCTGAGAGAGAGTTTATGGGCTCAGTAACACTTTATATTTGATACACTATTTCATAGGTCATTGTATAATTCCAAAAGTGCACCAAGAAAACATTTTACATAACTTATTATGAAAATTTACAGACATATATTCACTATAAACTTTGGAAAACTAGAAAATGATTATTTTTTCAGGCAAACAAAATAACCATGCAAAGTGTTGGAACATTTTAAGAATTAATTTCTACATATTTATGAGAATTTCACATATTTTGTCTATATTTTCTTCTGATCAAGTAATTATGATATATATACATTTGCACACAATTTAGAAATGTCAGCTTGTGTTATATAACAATTTCTATTTTCCAGTGTAATTTTCACCCAACATGCATGCCCCAAAGTGTTTAGATTTTCCAAGTCATCTGGTTTGGGGTAGTAAAGCCATTCAAACTAAAATCATATATTAAATATTAATTTGAGGGTGAGATATTATTCTATCAATTCATACTTCATGCGTAAAAAAACACATATAATGCTTATTTCATTGTTTTCAAATCCACAAGTACCCAAAAAGTTAAGAATGACAATGTATATATGTAATATATATATTTAAAATAAATTGTTTATTTCTGTTCCATAATCTTCATTGAATTGTATTAACTTGATTATGAACAGGTGAAAGGCTTGTAAAAATCATCTGTGTAATTAAGTCGAGGAAGAAAGGCGCATGTCATGTATTTCCAGATACACTAAGGGGAGTAATCACACAAAGATTGTGAGGTAAGGAAATTTGAAGTTGAAATTTGATATAAAATATTTAATATTTTGTTGGTCTGTGAGCCTCTGGTCATTGTGTATTCCTGTATGCTTAAAATTCTTTCTATATTGAAGAATGGCTGATAATCCAAATCCTTTAAAGATTGTCAATGTGAATGTGGTATAGAACTATGATACATAATTCAATAAAGCTTTCTAGACCTATTAAGATGGTATCTATAAAACTTATAATTCTACTGAGTTTCACAAACTTC